GCGACTCCCAGCTTTGTGCTTGGAGGCTGCTTTTGTCAGTATGTGGGGGGTCCATGAAGTACACAGGATTGAACTCAAGTCTCCTGCAGGCAAAGCATGTGCCTGGCCTGTCAACTATCTCTCTGGCCCTTTGCGATTTATTATCAGTAAATATTTGGTTTGAGGGGCCACACCCAGCAGTGCTCAGGGCTCATTCTTGGCTCTGCACTTAGGAATCACTGCTGGTAGTGCTCAGGGGACCATCTAGGGTGCCAGGGTAGAACCTCGGTTGGTTGTGTGCAAGGCAAAAGCCCTACGCACTCTACTATCACTCTGGCCTTTGATTTGCATACACGTGTCATATCCTATACACCTGGGATTGCATACACAGTTCCTGGGTGAAAAGGGGTTGCAAGAAGCCCCGTGGTAGAGGTTAGACTTTCTCACAGGACATAGACTTCTCTGCACTGGAGTGCTCAGAGATGACAAAGGCTGAAACACAAACTTTCCACGCTGGAGCCCTGGGTTTGCTCTCAGGCATGGCACGGTTGACTGGGCAGTGCCCTGCACTAGCCTCCAGCACCTTTGACTATGCCCTCCGTCCAGCCCCACTCTCCTCCTCCCCCCCAAAAGTCCCCCCCACACACACATGAACTGAGGCTTCAGTTGGTCGGTTCTCACAGCTAGTTGAGTTCGGAAACAGATTTGAACGAGGCCCGGGTGGATAGTCTGAAGGGGACAGAGGTGATGGGAAGCAGAGCCGGAAGTGAGATGGGAAAGGATGTCCCAGGAGGGCCATTGCTTCTGCCGGTGACTCATCCTCCTCCAGCCCCTGGGGCCCTGACCCGGGCCCACTGACAGGCAGTTCTGGATACTTTCCCAGGAGTCCGCCACCCCACCCCCAACCCCCCACTGCGCTGCCTGCCTGCTCCAGGAGGAACTATGAGACCGGGTGACAGGCACCCTCTGGGCTGGGGAGCTGTAGTTGTAGCGCTCCGGGCCATGGCCAGGGGCCAGTGGACTCCGCCTGGGCCTCCGGACTGGCTCTTCCCGGCAGGGTCAAGCTTTTCTCTAGTCCAAAGCCGCAGTACAGAGAGTGGCTTTCCTACGTGCATCCGAACCAGGGTCACCTTGGAGGCCGCGCTGAAGCTGGCGGGGGCCGCCCTGCCTTCTGCAGCCACCCTCCAGCGCCGAAGCCTGGGGTCCTTTCCCTGCTGCTGCTCCCAGCCAGCCGTCCCGGGGACCCCGCGCTCCCGAGCCCCTGAGGCTCTCGCGGCAGTTTGGAGCTGATGTCACCGGCGCCCAGAGCGCCGCAGGCAGACGGGGCGGAGCGCACGCGATGGACGGGGCCGGGGAAGCATCCGTGAGTGCTGGGGACCGAGCCCCGCGCGCACCCGCCCCTGACGCTCTCAGGGTACTTACAGCCGGACGTTGGGTGTAACGTGTGTGTGTGTGTGTGTGTGTGTGTGTGTGTGTGTGTGTGTGTGCGTGCCTGTGCGCGCGTAGCAGGAAGCTAGCTTAGCAAAGGTGGGAGCCGGTGCGGACAGACATGGGGAAGAGGGTGGAGTGGAACTTGTGCGGTCTGGAGGGGTGGAGGGTTGCCTGGTGGTCTCGGCATTGGCACCGGGCTGAAGTATTCCTGCAGGATGGATGGTCAAGGAAACAGGTGAATAAGGCTGGGGTATGGGGTGATGAGAATCTGGCCAAACTCAGGAAATAGTGAAGGAAAACTCTCTGGGGAATCAGCCAAGGCTTTTGGAGGGCGGAACTCCTTGTGTTCAGACCAGCAACCGAGGTCAGGGTGGAGGAGGGCGGGGATGAGTGAGAAGAGACGTTTGGGGCATCTTTCTAGTTTGGTGGCTTCCCTTACTCACTCAAGGGAGCCGCAGAGTGTATGGTGGCTGCCCTTCCCCCTTTCTCCAAAACCTCCAGCCAGCCTGCTGCCCAAGACCCGGTTCTCTGGAACATCCGTGCTTCTGTGCGGCTCTCACCTCCCGGCTGGGGTGTTAGTGGGAGCCCTCAGCAGCACAGGTGCTCCGTGGTTGTCCGGGGAGATAGCCTTGCTGCCCCTGGTGTAGTCGGGTACCAGCCATTAGCCAAAACGTTTCATATTCCTGTCTCAAGAGTAGTCTTGGGACTATTTCCAGCCTTCTCTTACAGACGGAGAAACTGGGGCATACGGAGGCTGAGTGAAATGCCCAGTGCTGTTATTATAAGTTTCTTCCCAGCTTCTCAGGACTGGCGGGGCTGTGACTTCACCCTCAGGTTGCCTTTCAAGCTGTGCTCGCCCACATCGCTCTGTGCCACATCCTTTCTGAGTGAATGTGCCCGGGATCCTGGTGGTTCTCTGGGTACCTCCCCTTGGGCCCTCCTACACCCGACTCTGCCTCACTCCTGATCCGTCTCACTTGCTTTCCCATCTCCTCTGTCCTCAGGGCTCAAACTCAGAGGCCTTTGGGTCGAAGATCCACTAGTTTGGGTTGTGTTGGGGGTCTTGAGGATGCTGGGAGTGCCTTTTCCATGGCTCCTTGTCAACTAGATGTTGCCCTCATCACTTGAAACCTTGGACTAACTCAGAATGGCTTTTTCTAGCTGTGTTATTCCTTTTCGTTGCTTTCTCTGGACTGACTGTACTTTAGACTCACTTGGGAAATTAAAAAGCTTTTTCCCCCAAAGGCCCAAGAGATAGTATGAAGGTGAAAGCATTTGCCTGGCATGTGACTGTGGCCAAGACCTGAGTGTAAATCCTGGCACTGCATGTGGTCATTTGAGCATCTCCCAGGGTGGGACCTCCCGCTTGCCTGCAATGCAGTAGGACCCCCTCTCCCTGATGCTCCTTTGGCAAGTCTGTTTTGAGGCCTACTTTTATATACATATTAGGTTTTGGGGTCACACCTGGCAATTCTCGGGAGTTATTCCTGGTTCTGTGCTCAAGAATCACTCCTGAAGAGTGTGGGGGACTATTTGGGATGCTGGGGATCAAACCTGGATTGGCTGTGTGCAAGGCAAATGCCCTACCTGTTATACTATTGCTCAGGACCCAGGGGCCTGGTATTAATTAATTTATTTAAATTTTGTTTTGGGCCATATCTGGTGATGCTCAGGGGTAACTCCTGGCTCTGTACTAAAGAATTACTCCTGGTGATGCTCAGAGGACCGTATGGGATGCTGGGGATCGAACATGGGTCAGTTGCATGCAAGGCAAGCTCTCTACCTTCTGTACTTCATGTCTTCAAGATTTTTTGTTTTTGTTTTTGGGCCACACCTGGCAATGCTCAGGGCTTACTCCTGGCTCTGCGTTCAGGGGTCACCTTTGGCAGTCTCTGGGGACCCTATGGGATCCTATCCTGGGGATTAAACCACATGCAGCCGCATGCAAGGTAAGGATCATACCCACTGTACTATCATTCTGGCCCCTTAAAATTTTTTTTAGGGAGCCAGAGTGATAGTACAGCAGGTAGGGTCTTTGTTCTACATGTGAACAGAAGTGTTCCCTGAGTATAGAGCTAGGAGTAAGCCCTGAGTACCACAGGGTCACATTCCACTTCTGCACCACCAAACACGTGTACACACACACACACACACACACACACACACACACACACACACGTTTTCCATTCTTGGCTGGAGAGATAGCTCAATGGACTGGAGTACATGCTCTGCATGCAGGAGGCCCTGGGTTCAATTCCTGACACCACATGGTACCCAGACATCAGAGGCTAAGCATATGACCAGCAGTAATCTCTTAGTATTACCAGATGTAGCCCAAAACAAAACAAAACAAGTTTCCATTCTGTCTCCTAGTTCTGCAAACACTATTCTATACAGAACTTTGATTGTGCATGTTTGTATCATGCACAAATGGTACTGTAATAGTGTTCTCTCCCCTCTTTTGGGAGGGGTTCACACCTGGCAGTGCTTGAGGACCACTCCTGGCTTTGTGCTCTGGGCTCACTCCTAGTGCTTGGGGTCTCGTGCGGGGCCAGACTGAAGCCTGAGCCGCCTGCATGTGAAGCTGTGCCCCAGCCCTGCACTATCTCCTGGCCCTGCTCTGCTTTTTCTCATATCATGTACTCTGATGGTTTTGGTGTGGTGGTGTCTGGGATTGAACCCAGGGCCTTGCCTCTTCCTTGTGAAATATGCATTCTACCACCGCGCTACATTCGTGGCCAGGTTTCTTATGTATTTTTGGGTGCTGGGGATCAAGCCCAGCGCGTCACACATGCAGGGAATGTGGTCTAGTGCTGAGCCACATCCCTAGCCACTTCCCGTATTCTGAATATGATTTCGTTAACTGCACACGTCTGTCTCATCCTTTATTTTAATTTTTTGAGTTTTGGACTATACCTGGTGGTGCTCAGAGCTTACTCCTGCCTCTAAGGGGTCACTTCTGGAAGGCCCGGGGGATCATACGGGGTGCTAGGATCAAACATGGGTTGCCTGTGTGAAGGCAAACACCCTACCTGCTGTAGTATCTCTCTGGTCCCTCTACCTCACTTTTTATTTATTTATTTATTTTGCTTTTTGGGTCATACCCAGCGATGCACAGGGGTTACTCCTGGCTCATGCACTCAGGAATTACCCCTGGCATTGCTCGGGGGACCATATGGGATGCTGGGAACCGAACCCGGGTTGGCCGCGTGCAGGGCAAATGCCCTACCCATTGTTCTATGGCTCCAGCCCATATATTTAAAATCTGAGATATTGACTAGTTAGATCAAAGGACTTGTGAATTTGTAGTCTTCATAGATTTACCCAAATTATATCCAAAAGAAGCAGAGGGCATTTAACTTCCCCCACCCTTCCAATGTATTAGTTAGGATATCTGTAATTTCACAATGATTTCCTGCTTAGTTTTAGGCTACAGAGACTGAGCATCATCCTCTGCTCTTACGTTGTCTGAAACACGACTCATCGTTTTCACTGGGGCCACAGCTCCCCCCCCACCGGGAGACTGGATGCCTCTTCCCTCTGTCCCCACTGACGGTACCTTCTCCCCTTTCTTCCCCCCTTCCTGCCAGGACACGGAGCTGCAGCGGAAGTTGGACCATGAGATCCGGATGAGGGAGGGCGCCTGCAAGCTGCTGGCAGCCTGTTCCCAGCGGGAGCAGGCCCTGGAGGCGACCAAGAGCTTGCTGGTGTGCAACAGTCGCATCCTCAGCTACATGGGCGAGCTGCAACGGCGCAAGGAGGCCCAGGTTTTGGGCAAGAAAGGCCGGCGGTGAGCGGGGAGGGGCCAGGCTCTGCGGGCGGGGGGACCCCTCTGAAGAGCGCCTTCACCCCAGGGTGCCGGGAAGACTCCTTGTGGTTCCAGTGCGCCACCCTGAGGTGCGCTGCCTGAGTGAATCACGGCAGCCAGTGCCTGGGGCCAGCGTGGCAGGCCCCCCCCCCCCCCTCTCCCCGTGCCCCCCGCCCCTTCCCCCCCCCCCCCCCTCCCCGAATTCGAGGCCTTGCAGACTGACTGGCTTCTGGGAAGGCTCATTTTCTCAGTTCGCTGAGTGACACATTTGCAGCATGACCAGTTTGCCACAAGTGACAGTAAACCTGGAGTTCATCACTAGAGGCAGGGACTGGGAAAGGACACCACCTGCCCCTGCGAGTAGTCTGTGCATCCTAGAAGCCCGAGTGTGAGACACGTGCTACCCTGACGTCACGCTCTACTGCACAGACGGATCTCTGTGACGCGATGCTGTGGGGGGAAGAGAAGGCTGGAGAAACGATTTATTTCGTGAAGTGGCCTTCAGGGCATAGGCTGTTTTAGGTGAACTGGCTGTTAGCAGTCGCTGGTCTGGCCAAGTGGGTGGAGCGGGAGAAAGTGGCTCTGCGCTAGGACCTGGAGGTTCCTGGCTGGAGACACAGTCCCTATGAGGAGGCAGATCAGCACTCACCAGTCACTCCCTAAAACCAAAGGCAGAACCAGCAGTTGGGGGCCGATTCCCCACTTCTCCCAGAGGTGGCCCTGGGTCCGGTCTTCCCCGCCCTGCCTGCACAGCCCCTCCCCAGGTCTAGGCAGTGGGGCTGAGGCAGACCCCCTCGGTTCCTGACCGCTGAGCACGCAGTGACCGGGCCACCCTTGGTTCTTTAGGGGAATCCCCAAGGTTTGGGTGGTGAGTCATCGAGGACGAAGAGCACAGGCCTCCTAATGAGGGGAGAAGAGAGGAAGGATGGGAGCCTGGGAGTGGGAGGACTGGGGTGCTTGGGGCACAGGGAAGGCCCAGAAAATCTAATGAGGAGGACATCGAAGCTGAGGGCGGAGGGAGAGATCAGTTTGAGGTCAACGGACACACGTTTTCCTTGCTTGAGTTTTGGTGACCTCCCGGCAGAAACGGGCGGTGTGGTGGAGCCAAGTCTCCTTAGGATGTTGGCCACAGCCTCTGAAGGGCGCATGAGGGAGAGCCCTGGGAGGGGCATCTCCACGGGTGCCTGTGCCCACAGGGCCCTGCTCACCTGCCAGGGCTGCTGTGTGTATGTGTGAGTGTGTGTATGTGTGTATGTGGGAGTGTGTGTGTGGGGCGGTGAGTCCCACACCTGCTGCCAGTGTGTGTATGTATATGTGTGTATGTATGTGTGTGTGTATTTGGGTGTATGTGTGTATGTATGTGTATGTGTGTATATATGCATGTATGTGTGTATGCATGTGTCTATGTGTCTATGTGTGTGCATGTATATGTGTGTATGCATGTATGTGTGTATGTGTGTTTGAGTGTATTTGTGTGTATGTGTATATGTCTGTGTATGTGAGTATATGTATATATGTGTGTGTATGTGTGTATGTGTTTGTGTGCGTATGTGTGTATATATGTGTGTGTATGGGTGTGTATGTGTATGTATGTGTGCATGTGTGTATCTATGTGTGTGTATGAGTCTGTGTGTGTCTGTGTCTGTGTGTGTACGTATGTGTCTATATATGTGTGTGTGTGTGTGTGTGTGTAGTGATGGGGAAGGTGCTGAAATGGGGGAGAGCCCCACGCTTGCACACTGAGGATGTAAGTTAATGTGTCTTGAGTGTCCAGCTCGCCTGGGTTTCATCATCGCCTCCCCTCTCTGTCCCTCAGCCCTGCCGTGCCAGTTTGCCTGGGAGCCTGGGGTCCTGGGGGCTGGGAACTGGAACGGGGTGTGGAGCGCAGTCGGGGCTCAGAAACTGCCAATTTTCCCGCAGGCCTTCGGACAGCTGCTCGCCTGCCCATCGGTCCCCCTGCCGAGGCCGGGTCTGCATCTCTGGTAAGCAGCACCGCGTTCACCAGACCGCCCGCCCCCAGCCCCACTCTCCCCCGGCTCATGCCTGTCCCCACCCTCTGCCCTGCAGACCTCCGGATCCCTCTCATGTGGAAGGACACAGAGTACTTCAAGAACAAAGGCGGTGAGTCACACACCTGCTGCCAGCAAAGTGGGGGAAGGACCTGCTGGTGGCCAGGGCTTGGGGCCATGTGGAGACGGCTTTGCTCTGTCCCCAGACCCGCACCACCGCTGGGCTGTGTTCCTGCTGCTGCAGCTCGGGGAGCACATTGAAGACACGGAGATGGTCCTGGTGGACCGGACCCTCACGGACATCTCCTTCCAGAACAACATACTCTTGTGAGCGCCCTGCCCTTCTGGACGCCCTTTTCCCCCAGTGCTGCTCCGCGCTCCCCACCCGTCTCCAGGGCCTGTGGGAGGGTGGACACTGCGCTCTGCCCAGCACGATCCTCCTCTCTCCCTCCCTGTGTCTGCAGTGCCGATGCAGGGCCAGACTTTGAACTTCGCCTAGAGCTATATGGGGCCTGCGTGGAAGAGGAAGGGGCCCTGACGGGCGCCCCGAAGCGGCTGGCCACCAAACTCAGCAGTTCTCTGGGTCGGTCCTCAGGGAGGCGTGTCCGGGCATCACTGGAGAATGCTGGAGCTTCTGGGAGCAGCCCCATCCTGCTCCCCACACCGGCCGTGGGGTAAGGCCCCGTTCTGCTGCCCACCCCGACTGTGGCCTCGGCAGTCTGGATCGGGCCCGGGTGACCTCTGAGCTGTGTTGCGCGGCACAGAAGGTCCAGCTTTCTGGGTTCAGTTCCCAGCACTGTATGGTTCCCTGAGCTCAGCTGGGTGACCCCAAAACAAAACACCTGGAAACGTGCCTCTAATCTAATCTCTATCTTTCGTTAATGAAATGGCAGTATGAAGGCACACCTGTCTCCAGAGCTTTGCTCAGCATCCCAGAGGATCTCCAGTGACACCTCCCGGGCTCAGCAAGCGCACCCCCCGGGCCCTGTATGGGCCCTGTAAGCAGCCGCAGGGGAATGGGAAGGCTCTCGAACCTGTACGCCGCGCCAGACCCACGTCTAATTGAGGACTAGTGCAAATGGAGAGAGAAAGAGCCCTGGAGTCTTAACTCATTTTTTTGTGGGGGGGTTTGGGGTCATGCCAGGCAATGGGTAGGGGTTTCTCCTAGACCTGCACTTGGGAATTACTCCTGGTGATGCTCCGGGTACCATATGGGATGCTGGGGATTGAACCCGGCTTGGCTGCATGAAAGACAAGTGCCCTACCTGCTATATTATCACTCTGGGCAGGACACACCCAGGTGTTCTTAGGGAGTTCCTGGGTCTGTGCTCAGAGATTACTCCTGGTTGTGCTTTGGGGGGTCATATGGGATGCCAGGGATCTAACCCGGGTCAGCTGTGTGCAAGGCAAGTACCCTGCCTGCTGGACTGTCTCCCTGGTCTCTGAAACCAGCTCTTACATAAAGCCAGGCCCTGGGTGTGTGCTGTGCTGGGCCTAGGATGCGTCACTGGAGATCCTCTGGGCTGCTGAACAAAGCTCTGGAGACAGATTCGCCTTCATATTGCAGTTTCATCAACGAAAGACAGAGATTAGAGGCACGTTTCCAGGTGCTTTGTTTTGGGGTCACCTACCCAGTGTGGGTACTGAAGCCAGGCCTTATCTGGATGCAACGCTTCTGCTCCAGTCCTTTGAACGGTCTTGCCTGGCTGCTCTGGCCGTGTGTGTGTGTGTGTGTGTGTGTGTGTGTGTGTGTGTGTATGTGTGTGTGTGTGTTTCTTTTTGAGTCACACCCTGCGATGCTCAGGGGTCACTCCTAGCTCTGCACTCAGGAATTACTCCTGGCGGTACTCAGGGGACCATATGCGATGCTGGGAATCGAACCCCGGTCGGCTGCGTGCAAGGCAAACACGCTCCCTGCTGTACTATCGCTCCAGCCTCTGTGCATGTTTTAAATTCTTAAGTTCTGTTTTGGGGCCACACTGGCTGTGCTCAGAGGGGTTACTTCTTGGCTCTGCGTTCAGGAACCATTCCTGGTGGTGCTCGAGGGACCATGTGGGGTGCTGGATATTGAACCCCGACATGTAAGGCCTGCTTTCCTATGGCCCCGGCCCCTGGGCACATTTTTTAACCTTGCTAAGCCACGACTGTCACCAGGCTGTAGGGGGAGTAAGCAAAGAGCCTGGAGCTTCTTGTGGGCTCAGGACATGCCCTGAGGTGGGGGACGCAAGCTCATGTCCCCAGAGGCCTGGCCGGACCTGGCCTGGCCGCTCCCGGGACTGAGGCTCACTTCTACATCTTTCCCACAGGGGGCCTCGGTACCACCTCCTGGCCCACAGCACACTCACCCTGGCCGCGGTGCAGGACGGGTTCCGCACGCACGACCTCAGCCTCGTCAGCCACGGTGGGTGTGTGGGCGCGTGGGGGTGGGGTGTGGAGAGGCGCCCCTTCCCCCCCAACATCTGACTCCCCACACGCACCTCCAGCAGAGGAGAACCCCGCCTGGCTGCCCCTCTACGGGAGCATTTGCTGCCGCCTGGTGGCGCAGCCTCTTTGCATGACTCAGCCCACTGCCAGCGGCCCCCTCAGGGTGCAGGTATGGGGGTCCTGGGGGGCGTGGAGGGAGGCACGGGCAGGAATGGGGAACTGGATTGTGGAGCAGTGGGACGACTCGGGAGCACTGGGGTCCGGCTGGAGGAAGGAGGGGGGTGGCAAGGTGGGGACCAGGAAGCAGGGGTGGGCAGAAAGGAGGAAGGAGCACATTCTCCACCAAGAGGGAGCGGTGTGTGTGGTGTGTGTCTGTGTGTGTGTGTGCACGCGCACCCCCCAGGAAATCTTGTCATTTCTCCAGCAAACTGGGGAGCTGCAGGACTGGAAGCGGGTACATGGGGTGCTGAAAGGCACAAACCTCTTCTGCTACCGGCACCCGGAGGATGCAGACACTGGGGAGGAGCCGCTGTTTACTATTGCAGTCAACAAGGTGACTCCTGGCGACGGTTACTCCGTGTGTGTGTGTGTGTGTGTGTGTGTGTGTGTGTGTACCTCCATGCCCTCCCTTTCCCTGCCTCCATTGCTCTCCCTTCTCCCTCGAGGGTGCAGCTGGCTCCTGGGGGCCCTTCTGCCCAAACGAGGTGCCTGGGAGATAGACGCCTCCTGGTGCCTCCTCCGACGCCTGCTTCTCTCTGCTGCAGGACACTCGAGTCCGGGCCGGGGAGCTGGAGCAGGCGGCAGGCCGGCCCCTCACCCTGAGCATCAGCAACCGGTATGGGGGGGATGAGGTGACACACACCCTCCAGACGGAGAGTCGGGAAGCCCTGCAGAGCTGGAGGGAGGCTCTGTGGCAGCTGTTCTTCGACATGAGTAAGTGTGTGTGGGGTGCTGGGTGAAGACTGGGTTGACTCCGACTGAGGCGGGGCAGATGGTTCCCCGCCTGTCCGACTCCCTCCCACACTCTCCCTTCAGGTCAGTGGAAGCAGTGCTGTGAGGAAATCATGAAAATTGAAACCCCTGCTCCCCGGAAACCCCCGCAAGCACTGGCCAAGCAGGGGTCCTTGTACCACGAAATGGGTGAGCAGAAGTGGGAGCTCGGGGAAGTGCTGGGGGGGTCTCCAAAGGAACCCAGATAGGAGGGCTGAACGCGGGCCCGTGGCATTTCCTCCTCTTTCCCGACTCTTCTCAGAACCACTTCCACCAAAGTTCAAAGCAGGATCCCCCCCAATAGGACCCCCCCAGGCCAGCTTCATCTCATGGATTTCTTTCCTAATCTCTTCCTTTCTGTCTCCTTCTCTGCATGTGGACTCCTGTCTCTGCTTCTGCTTTCCTCTTCCTCCTCTCTCTCCATCTCACCCACTCCCTCCGGCCTCTCCCATGTCCCCGCTGAACCATCCCGCACCCCCTAGTCTTGGCCGAGCCGGCTGAGCCGGGGGCTCCCGGGGGCCCTGGCGAGGGCCTGCTGCTGCAGGACGATGCGGTCTCGGCTGAGATCCGGGCTTTGCTGTCATCCTACTACAGTGACAGGTGATGGCCAGGCCCAGGGAGGCCGGCGGCCAAGCTCTGACTAGCCCCCTCCCTCCCCCTTCCTGGTGCCACAGCTCTTGAGCCGCTGGATGACATCGCGGCGGTGACAGACATCCTGGCCCAGCGGGAGGGGTCCAGGCTGGAGACAGCCCCTGCCTGGCTAGCCGTGTTCGCGGACCAGCCTACCCCGCCCCGCCCCTGCTCTCCTTCTACCCACCCCTCGCCCTGGGGGCGCCCCCGAACACTCTCCTTGGACGCTGCCCCCCCAGACCGCTCCCCCGCGGCTTCCCGTTCTGTTGCCCCTCGGCGCCCACCGCGACCCCCACAGTCCAGAGGCCTCTGCAGCAAAGGGTCCCCCCACACATGGCTCCAGTCGGCGGTGTGAGAGCTGGTGGCGTCAGGATCGTCGGGGAAAACGGCGTCTGTGCAGCTGGACATGGGCCGGGGCAGGTGGGCTCAGCTCCTGGGGCGGCCTCCCCTACCTCTGCGGATTGGGGTGGGGGCAATCTTCAGCTGTAGGTGCTGTGGTGCGAGGGGCTTGGTCCTGGGGCTCGCTGGGGGGTCCCTTCCCCCCACCCCCTTCCTGGGAGAAAACTGGAACCAAACCCACCCGATGTCCCTGCACTGACCGCGTCTGGACACAGCACTGAGGGGCCTGGAGGAAGGCACCGCCCCACACCCCCACGTCTGCCATTAAAGTATTTAACAGCCGTCTCTGACCTGGATTTGAGGACCAGTCACCTCTCGGAGGACGGCACTGTCCCCCTGTGCACCCCAGGTCCCCGTGCTGACGCGAGGGTGATCAGACCAAGGCTGGGTGGGGTTTGGGGGGAGCTTTATATAAATAGCACAGGGAGAAAGAGGGGGTGGCTTTTCTCTCACACGAGGTGAAATCTCAGGATCTCCGTGACGTCATAGCCAGTGACAGCAAAGGAGCTGCCCAAGGGGTCACAGAACCGGGCCCCACACAACTGGGTGTCCGGGATGCACTCCCCGTAGCAGTGCTCCACCTGGCGGAGGAGAGGGTGCTCAGGACCTGTTCCCCCCCCGCCCCCCCCCCCCCCCCCCCCCCGGCTGCACCCAACCGGTTCCTCCCTGCCTCCCCCCATACACACACACACACACACACACACACACACACACACACCTCAATGGAGCCGTTCTCCGGGTTTCTGCCCAGCTTCCAGATGTGCACAAAGGTGTCCTCGGCTGCGGACAGCAGCTGCAACGAAGGCCGGGCAGAGGTGAGAGGCGGCCGAGAGTCAGGGGCACAACTGGGAGGCAGAGGCTGGCCCACGGCCTCCCTGCAGGCGCGAGGGGACAGGGCGCACCGGGCAGCGAGGGCCACTGACCTTGCCCGCCTCGGGAGCCATGTCCAGGGCACAGATGGCGCGAGCGTGGGCGTCAATCTGGGCGTGCAGCGCGCCCGTGCTGGAGTCGTACAGACGCACCTGCCCGTTCCCATAGCCAGCTGCGATGGTCCCCTGCCACAGCTGGACCGAGGCACACGGGACCCTGCAACGGGGACCCCTGGGCTGGATTTCTCTCCATGCGAGCCACGCAGGGATGCCGCGAGACCCTTCCTCCTCACCTACCCAAACCCTGGGATTCGGGTCATTAACTTGAATTCGGTTCCTGAGCGCCAGACACACAGCGAGCCCGAGTCATCTGCCGTCACCATGTCCGCCATGCAGTCCTGGGGTGGGGGTGGGGAAGGCAAGCTCAGGCCTGGCGTTCTGCCTGTTGGAGCTGAGGGGGGGCAGGAGGGGGCAGGAAGCAGGGCTGCACGGTGTGGAGGCCTCACCAGCTGGACAGGGGCCCCAGGAAGCTGACCTGCTTTCCTTCGAGTCCTCTCCTCCCTGGTCCCCTCACATACCTGGGTTAAGAGGGGCACTCATCGGCCTCATGGGAGGGACAGTGAGATAAGGCCGCAGTGTCAGGACTCCCAGGGGGCCCTGCAGTGAGCTCATCCCTGTCCCTTGCAGGCTCCAGGCCCCACTGGGCCTCTCCTAATCTCGGGGGCCTGCTATCTGGCTTAGAATGGGCTGCTTCCCAGGGCAGGAGATAGGGAGGCGGGGCTGGAGTTGGGGGGAGGCTTCATGGAGGTGGGTCTGATTGGGTTTGGCTTGCCCGAGCCCAAAGGTGGCACTGGACAGCGTCTCAGAAGCTGTCAGCCCTTGCCCCATAAGGCACGCCAGCATTACACTGTCTTCTGGACTGGGAAGTAGCTCTGCCATCGTCACTGCATTTACGACTGATGTAGCCCAAGAAAGGGGGCGTTTTGCCCCAAAGAGATCTAGCTACTGAGAGGTAGAGCCAGGGCCTCCCCTGGGGTGAGGGAACAGGTGTGTGTGTAGGGAGGCAGTCACCTGTCCTTCAGCGGGCTCTGTGGCAATGTCTGTGACTGGAGTCTGGTGTCCATCCAGCTCTTCGCTCAGGACAATGTTGGGGCCCTTGGGTGGGATGTCAAACACCAGTATCCGGCCCGACCACGTTCCTGGAGAACCAGGCCCCTGGTGGCACCTGACCCTCCTAGCATCCATGTCCCATTCTCCCTCCATCCCACACACCCCAGTGGCAGGCCCAGCCATCCCTCCCCAAGCATTATGTGCCGCTATGCGCGCCCTCGCCCTACCCCATCTTCTCCCCCGCCCTGCCAGTAGATCTTGGAGTCAACCACCTTCCTTGGGAGTCTTGGAGTCAACCACCTTCTCTGCCATCCTCCCCTTCACAAAATCCTGACTTTCAGCATCCTCCCAGCCAAAAGCCCACAGTCCCACTCCCCAGCTTCCCACCCACCCCAGGGCCTGCCCATGGCTCCCTCACCCACGCAGATGAAGTGGCTGGTGGCAGCAGTTCCGCGGGCAAACACAGCTTGTCCTGCATAGCAAAGGGGGAAACTGAGGGTGGGAAACAGCACCCCCCGCCCCCATCACCCCAGCAAACTCCCACAGGGTACCTGACGTGCTGTCTTCTGGGTGCAGTGCGTGCCAAAAGACCATGACCGAGCCATCAGACTCGTACATCTGGTGAAAGAGGACAAGGTCACAACCACCCTGACCTCAGCTGAGCTCGGGGCAAGGCTCATCTCATCTTCAGAACAACTCCGTGTGCGTGTGTGTGTGTGTGTGTGTATTGTGTTGTGTTGTGTTGGGGGCTTATTTCTGGCTATGTGCTCCAGGGGTTACTCCTGGCGATGCTGTGGTGGAAGGCCATATGCAGTGCTAGGGATCAAACCCGAGTTGACTGCATAAGGGCCGATGTCTCCCTATTACAAGCTCTCTGGGCCAACCTTTAGCCTCATTTGGCAGAGGAGGACGCTGCGGCCGGGAGGACTGTAGTGAGTGAGCCAAGGGGGCCAGGCAGCTAGGAAAGTGGCAGGTAGACAGCACCTGGGAACCGGAAAACCGGTTCCGACAAGAAACAGGGACAGGTGGGCCGAGCACGTGAAAAGCTGGGAGGTGCTTGGGGGGACAGGGAGGAGTTAAGGAGGAGGAGGGTGGAAAGGTCCACATCTCACCTGTATTCCTCGGTGCGAGGTGAGAACCAGCAATATTCGGAAGGGGAGGACACACCAGCTGACCTAGAGGGAGGCAGTAGGGGTAGGAAGAAGCGGTCAGAGCCCGCGCGAGGGTCCCAGTGGCAGGCAGCACGCAGAGGATGCAGAGGAAGGGCAGGACTGGTTCGAGGCACTTGGGTGATATCTGGGTCCCGTCTCACCTGGGTGATCAGTGGGGGGCTCACCCCGGCTCTCTCTTTAGCGTGCAGCTGGCGCTGGGCCAAGGGCACACCGTCGCTGACGACGCTGAGAAGCTGGGCGCTGGGTCCATGGACCACCCCGAAATGCGTGAGGTTGCGGCCGGGCTGCTGCAGCAGCACACTGAGGTTGTTGCACAGTGCGGCGGCCGAGCCGCGAAGCGGGATGGAGCGCTCTCGGCGGAACATCCTCGGCCAGAGACGCCCGAATCTCGGGGCCGCGGGGGATCCTGCAGAGGGCTGGGGGCGCACGGGTGGGGGTAAGGCCCTGGGGCTGGCTCAGGATGGGCGCGGGTCACATGTTAGGGGGAGGGAATCCCAGGGCTGAGTCACCGGGCGATTGCGGGGGAGCCGGAGGGGGTAAGGATGCCAGGGCGGGAATGGTGATGGCCAGGTGGCCCCAGGCACCGGAGCCAAGGTGGGAGGAGGCAGGGAAGTTCCTAGGCTCTTCTTCCCCTGGATCAGCTCCCCACAACCCCCCGATCCGGGTCAGGGGCGACACCAGCAAGTCAAGGTCCGCTTGCCTGGCTCGGGGATCCTTGAGTCCCTCCGAATCCACCGCCACCATAGAGACGACGCACGTACGCACGGCCGCTGGGCGGGGCGGGCAGCCTGAACGTGCGGCGTGGTTGCCGGGCAACGGGGGCGGTACTAGCTGCCGGCGCACGGGACGCGGTTGCCGGGCAACGGGGGCGGTACCAACCGCTGGGCGCACGGGACGCGGTTGCTGAGGCGACGGGGAGGCTGCGGCTGCGGCCGCCGGACCCGGACCCCGCCACCACCCTGAGGCTGGAGCCAGCTGCTGGCCATGGCGCACGAAGGCTCGGTGAGCTTCAGCTTAGCTGATGGGCTGTCTCGGCCTGTCACGGGCGTTCAAGACGACCGAGGATGCCTCCGGGTGACTCGGGAAGAACACCCTCACCCGCACCAAGCTCACACTCTGTCACTCTTGAGTTTGAGGCAAAGGGTTGGATGGGTGGTGCAAGTTCAAGAAGAAGGAATGACTCTGGACATAGTACATGCAGTTATTCTCGTTAAGGGATCCGTTTGAGCGGGTCAATGAACAAACAGGATTGGTCAGGTTTTAGGAGCTGTACTGCTAGGATGAGCGATTTACTTTTTGGAGAATTTTGGAAGGAAGAAGCAATGGAGCAAGCAATGCTGAGGCTGCTCCTGAAAGTAAAAATGGCTTAAACGTCCAAGATATTAAGCCTGGGACGTGTTTCAGTGGTAGAGCATGTGCCTTGCAATGTTGAGGGAGACCCTGCATTTGGTTCCCTGCTATTGTAAAGAGCCAGGACATTTAGAGGGCGGAAAGATAGGACAGTGGGTAGGGCCTTTGCCTTGCATGTGGCTGACCCGGGTTCCATCCCGAGCACGCATGTGGTCCCCGGAGCCCCAGTAGATGAAATACCCGAGCACCTCACGTGAAGAGCCTTTGCACAACAATATCTCAGTCCCTCTCTTGGGTCATGTCCAAGCAGGGCCAGTCTCTTGCTTGTCACGGGGGGGGGGGGGGGGGGGGGGTTGGGAGGGAGGGGGGGATGGATCTAAGGACTGACTCTCGCCTCCCAACCTCCCCGGGCCAAGCTGGCTTGGGCCCTGGACCATTCCCTGGACTTGCCAGCAGGGCTTATCTCAGTAGCTGAGAGAGGGAAATGAGATTTAAGGGATTTGGGATTCTTGAGAGGTTTAGAAACACCCTTTGGGGGAGAATTAATTTTGCAGATATTTGTGGAACCGTAGGTATGAGGTAATCAGATTGGTGACAAGGAGACAAAAATCTGGGAAGATAATGTTTTGTAGGTAAAAATTGGAAGCAAAAGGTTTCTGGAGAGGGGCTGGAGCAATAGCACAGTGGGTAGGGCGTTTGCCTTGCACACAGCCAACCCCGGTTCGATTCCCAGCATCCCATATGGTCCCCTGAGCACCACCAGGTATAATTCCTGAGTGCAAAGTCAGGAGTAACCAGTGTGCATCACCAGGTGTGACCCAAAAAGCCAAAAAAAAAAAAAAATAAAAGGTTTCTGGGGAAACGTGGGGGAGTGAGGTGCTCCTAGAAATCTGTTAATGGGGCCAGAGTGATCAGACAGTAGGTAGGGTGTTTGCTTTGCACTTGGTCAACCTAGATTCCATCTCTGGCATCCCATATGTTCCCCTAAGCACCGCCAAAAGTAATTCCTGAGTGCAGAGCCAGGATTAACCCCTCAGTATCACTGGGTATGACCCAAAAGGAAAGAAAGAAAACTCTTTTCGTAAATTTCAGTGTCTCTAAAATAAAAAATAGGATTTAAAAAATTAATTAATTCATATTTTTGGTGATGCTTAGGAGTTACGCCTATCTCTGCACTTAGGAATCAATCTTGGTGTTGCTCAGGAGACCATATGGGATGCTGGGGATAGAACCTGGGTCAGCTGCGTGCAAGACAAGCACCTTTCCTGCTGTACTATTTCTCTGGCCACTTTATTTATTTATTTTGCTTTCTGAGTCACACCCGGCGATGCACAGGGGTTACTCCTGGCTCATGCACTCAGGAATTACTCCTGGCGGTGCTCAGGGGACCACATGGGATGCTGGGAATCGAACCCGGTTGGCCGAGTGCAAGGCAAATGTCCTACCCGCTGTGCTATTGCTCCAGCCCCTCTCTAGCCACTTTTTAAAGAAAATTCTAAGGTGGAATTTTTCCTAAAAATGTATTGAGCTGTCTTGATTTACAGTGTATTAATGGTTAGGTATACAGTGTAAGTGCTTAAAGTGTTGCTTTTTTATTATAAGAGGATACAAACATTAGTGAATTTATAAAAATCACCTATGTGCTTGTCTAGTGTATAGAAAAGAAACATGCCAGCTGTTTCAATTTTGTCTTCCCCACACAAACTGGTTACAGATCTGAGCTCACACTTGGCAAGTATTTTTGTATTCCATTTCTTTCACTTAAAAAACATGGAGTTGGGGGCTGGAGCACAGTGGGTAGGGTGTTTGCCTTGCTTGCACGTGCCCGACCCGGGTTCGATTCCCAGCATCCCATATGGTCCCCTGAGCACCGCCAGGAATGATTCCTGAGTGCATGAGCCAGGAGTAACCCCTGTGCATCGCTGGGTGTGACCCAAAAAGCAAAAAAACAAAAACAAAAACAAAAACAAAACAAAACATGGAGTTATTAGCATTTTCCTATACTATTGCAAAACTCCCTAAATATTACCTCAAATCATTGCTTTGCATCCTTCCATGTAGATTCTACAGACTTAGTCATCAACTCTTTTTGTTAGACATATGTTTTTAATATTCTGTTATAGCTGATGGCATCGGGAGTATGCTGAAAAATGAATTTCTTCTAGAAAATGCCTTTGTGTCTTTTCATAATTGATCGTTTTAAAAGCTGGACAGTTTTCTCAATGTTATTAGTCATTTATAATCCTGTCCTTATGAAATGCTATTTCATAAGTCCTTTTGCTCATTGCCCTTGGGGTATTATAATTTTTTTCATGAGTTTTCAATTTGTTTACTTTTTTTTGTTTTTTTCGGGCCACACCCAGTGGTGCTCAAGGCTTATTCCTGTCTCTGCACTCAGGGATCACTCGTGGGAGGCTGGAAGGACCATATGGGGTGCTGGGGATCAAGCTTTGGTGGGCTGCATGTGAGGCAAGCACTCTGCTTGCTTTATTTGGGACTTTTCATCCCTTTTCTCCCTTCCCCTTCTCTTGCTCTGTGGTGATGGGGGGGGGGGAGGTGGCATGTCATTCATGGTGTTTGATTGTGTCTGTGGGTTCTAGGGGGCTGCCCTCATTCACCTGTGGTCTCATAGCACATTCTGATTGCACAGCTTGTTCCGTAGGTCACTGTGGGTGTTCACAATGCACTAGCTGGGGTGCGTGTATGGGCTTTTGGGGGGTGGTTGGGGTACAACCCTGGCCACAGTGTTTGCAGTGTTCACTGGAGGTAACACACTGTGGTTGTTGTGTTAGTTCACACCCAGTTTGCTCTAAGCCGCACTGCAAGATCTGGGCATGGTGCTCAAGGGCAGAATCTGGGATTGAATACATGGCTTTGTGCCGCAGACCTCTTAGCCACCAAACCATTGCTTGCTTCTCTATGCATCCGTCTTTATATCTGTCACAGTTATGTTTGTCTGGAATGCAGTATAAGGTCAAGCTCTGGAGACATGTGAGAGCCATGGAGATAGTATAGGATGAAGGCACTTGCCTTGCATTCTGCTGGCCCTGTTTCTCTCCCTGGCACTGCATGGGCCCTGAGCACTGCTAGGTGTGACCAAACACCACTCCCCCCCAAAGAAAAATAGAAAAATCTTCCCAAATTGCATATAACTTTAAAACTCTTCTGTCTCTAGTGTGTGATCTTGGACAAATTCTGTAAAATGGGGATAAAAATAGAATGCTATATAATCTAAAAAAAAGGTGAGAACTAAATCAATGTTTGTGACTTTTATATACTTAATTCTTTTATCAGCCCCACTTGATGGTGTTTGGGGGCTTTTACTGGTAGTCCTGAGGAGTCAGGCAGTGTCTGGGATTGAATCCAGGTCTCCTGCCAGTAAAGTATGTGCTCTCTTGATAATTCCCAGAGCTATCTCTCTGGACTTCCTTTATTATTTCTTACATTTCTTTTATGCTTAGGCAGTTCTTTCTCATCCAGAAATTATATGACAGCTTAACCGATTTTGTAATTTTTGGCTTATATTTATCTTACTTTATTTAATTTTAATTTAATTTATTTATTTTTGCTTTGTGGGTCACACCCGGCGATGCACAGGGGTTACTCCTGGCTCATGCACTCAGGAGTTACTCCTGGCGGTGCTCAGGAGACCATATGGGATGCTGGGACTCGAGCCCGAGTAGGCCATGTGCAAGGCAAATGCCGTATCTGCTGTGCTATTGCTCCAGCTCTCTATCTTATTTTATTTTGGTTTTTGTCCTGTACCAACCTGTGCTCAGGGCTTACTCCTGGCTCTCCGCTCAGGGTGATCTTGGTGGGCCTCTGGGGACCATCTGCGGTGCCAGGGATGAAATCTGAGTTGGCTGTGTGCAAGGCCAGCACCCTTTCTGCTGCAAGTCCCCTTTCTCAGGCCCCCTATTTTAAAAAATGTAATGTGTGCACCTATCCAGCGGGCCTAGTAAGGTCTCCTTTGTGAGACTTGTTGTTACTGTGTTTGGCATATCGATACTCTCGGTAGCTTGCCAGGCTCTCCTAGAGGGGCGGAGGAATCGAACTCAGGTCGCTATGTTGGCTGCGTGCAAGGCAAACGCCCTACCCGCTGTGCTATCGCTCCAGCCCCTGTGCACCTATACTTTACATATATAGTATATACATACATCTACACACAGTTGATTTGGGGGAATGGAGAGTGCTCTACGAAGTAAAGCCAGCATCCTTGATTGGTCAGTTTTCTCTGGTTCTCTGAGCTCTGAATAACTTTGAACTGGAGCAAAGAGTGAGGGACATGGGCCTCAGCGACCTATGAAATAACGGGAACTTCTACTGTGCCATCCCAAACATGTGAGGATTCACTTATGTCAGTGGGCCAAAAGGAGGGGTGGAAATCTAAATGAGAGCAAATGCCCAAAGGCCACAGGGCAGGCGCCTAGGAAAGCCTTTCCAAAGACGTCCTCCTTCCCGGTGGACGGCGGGAGAGGGCGGCGTCCTGGCCCGCAGCCGCCGGCCCAGCCGGGTTCACCGCGCTCGGTTCCGAGGGCCCGATTCCCTTCCCCACAGAGGCAGGCCCGAGACCGAGGGCAGACCCGCTCCAAGGCCGAGAAGACGCGGCCGCCCACCGTGACGGTGCCGCAGGTGGAGATCGTGCCGGGGCGGTTGACCGAGGCCGAGTGGATGACGATGCTGGCCGTGGAGGAGGGCGAGGAAGTGGTCGGGGACATCATGACCGACCTGCTGGCGCGAGTCCTGGACGCGGCCTTCAAGGTCTACCTGAGCCAGCAGGTGCGTAGGACCCCCGCAGCCCCGCGCGCGGCTCCCGGCCGCGGCTCCCGCCTCACGGACGCCACGGGCCCCGCAGTGCATCCCCTTCACCATCAGCCAGGCCCGGGAGGCCATGCTGCAGATCACCGAGTGGCGCTTCCTGGCCCGGGACGAGGGCGAGTCCGCCGTGGCCGACGACCCGACGTGGGGCGAGGACGAGGAGCCCTCGGCGTGCGCGATGGACTCGTGGGCGCAGGGATCGGTGCCCGTGCTGCGCGCGCCCGCCGCGGGGAGACCCGAGGAGACCCAGGGCGAAGTAAGTTCGGGGCCCCCCCAGCCCCCCACCCGGGTCTCCTGGGGTCCCCCCACGGCCGCCCTGGGTTTCTTGCCAGCCTCAACGCTCCCTCGCGCTGTCGGTGTGTCCACCACGGCGTGTTTCCCCAGGACCGGGGTAAAAAGACCCCCGTCGGAAAAGCGTGGGCGTCGGGAGGCGCCCAGGACCGCCCCAAGACGTGCGCGCAGCCCTCCGGGCCCGGGGTCCCTCCGGGGCTCCCGCGCACCCCGGAGCCCGCGCAGGAGGCCGGGCCCGAAGCTTCTGTGCTGGACTCGTTCTACTCCGCGTCCCTGAGCCCAGACGACCCGTTGTCGCTGGAGGCGACCTACGACAGCCCGCACCCGTCCCTGGACCTGTTCGAGGACAGCAGCCGCTCCCCGCATCCGTCCGAGAAGCCGGAGTCGCCGAGCTCCGCGCCGTCGCTGGAGGACTTCTTCCGTGGCCTCGGCCCGCCCGACGGCGCCGGGGACCGGGTGCCGGCCTCGAAGGTGTCGGTGGCCAGCACCCCCGAGAGCGCGCGCTCCAGCTCCTGCGCCGAGGGCGGCTTCAGGCCCGGCTCGGCCGCGGTCCGGCTGCAGCCGTCGTCGCCGCGGGGCTCGGCGCGGTCCCGGGGCCCGCACAGGGCGCCTTCCAGACGCTCGGAGCCCGCGCGGATGCCCAGGCCCTGGGTGCGCCCCCTCGTGGAAATCCTGGGCCCCCGCTACCCCGCGCACCTTTGGGAAGCCCACAGCGCCTGGCCACTGGGAGAGAAGTTCGAGGGCTGGCCCCGAGGCCGGGAGTTCCGCCGCTCCCGGACCAATTTGTTCCCTTTCCCGCCTGGTGGTCACTTCAGAGCCTTGAGCTGCAGCCCCGGACTCCAGTTAAGTCCTTTAAACCTACACCTACCTTGTTCCAGCGTCGGGTCGAAGATCCCCAGTACCGGGCTTCGCTTCCTGGACACCCACCGGGGGATCCCCGAAACAGCCCAGAGCCCGCCCCCCAAAGTGTGGCCGAGAGCTCACTGGCCCACCGGCTGGGAGGGGGCGGCTGAGTTGCTGGATCAGATGTGGGCGGGGGGCCGCCACCCCCACGTGCTCACCAGGGGTCCCCCCATGGACAAGGAGGCGCCTGATGTTCTCACTTGGCCGCGCACGGAGCCGCCGATGCTCACGGCCACGAGTCAGGTCCCTTGGACGCCCATATTAATGCCCGAAGCCATGACGCTGGCCCCCGGGGTGAGCATGTGGAACCCGGCCACGGAGGAGCTGCTCACTGCCAAGGGCTCGCCGCCAGAGAGCAGAGAGAGCGAGGTCTCCTCTCCCCAGGAGCAGTATCCCATCCAGACCTCAGCCCCCAAGCCCCTGGTGACCACGGCCCAGCTCACGAAGAACTCGGCCCCCAAAGTGTCGCAGGTCCCCACCAAGCCGCTGGCCCCTTCCACGCCCTGAGCCTCAGGCAATGAGAACCGGACCTTCCTTCGGCTTTCTCACCAGAAATAAACACTCGAGTTGCCTAGAAAATTGGCCTGATGTGTCTTGTCACTGTAGAACGAGGGTGATGGGGGCACTTCGGGAACCAGAATGGAGCTCTTGTCTGCTCCTCTGCTCTCCTCAGGAGGGAGAGAACATTGGCTCTGCGGAGTAACCCTCTCACCCACCCAAACCCACGTTGGGCACCCTACTTTAGGCCATTGTTGCTCCCCAGCCCGAGTTCTTCTGAAATGCTTTCTCTTCTTGCAAAGCAGAAGACCTAAGCGTTCTAGCAGGATCTCCTTCAAGTTGGGAGAATTTAAAGTTTCTGCCTTAGTGTAGGGTCCCATGGGGATGACCTGTTTCTGCAGGCACAGTGATTCCCAACAGGAGGAATCCGATGGTTTGCTTTTGCTGTTCTGGCAGATTGTCAGTTCACTGCCAACTGCAAATGCCTGTTTTGACTTAAAAAAAAAAAAACCAAAACAACAAAAACAAACAAACCTGGGGCCTGAGCAATAGTGTAGTGAGTGGAGTATTTGCCTTGTATGCAGCTGACCCGGGATTGATGTTGGCAGCCCATATGCTCTCCCCCAAGGCTACCAGGAGAGGCGCCTGAACACAGAGCCAGGAGTAAGCCCTGAGCACTGCTGTGGCCCCCAAACAAACAACAACAATGAGAAATCTTTCCTGCGTGGTATGGAAGTTCACTTAAACACCACAGCCAGACAGAAACTTGTCAGGAAAACAAAAAGGTCTTTCTTTATACCGCTGGCTGGGCAGAGCCTGCAACTAGGCAAAGCACCTGAAGCTATCAGCTGGTTCTGAGAGCATTTATATAGAGTGTCAGAGGGGCCTGTGACTTCTCATCTAGCCTGAAACAGTACAACAAGGACAATGGAATTGCAACAAAGGCATCAAGTACAGTAATGCCATTGGGGTTCCTGTACAGCATGGACAAAAATAGTTACAATAGTGGAATCATTTTTAAGGTAAAAGGGCATTTACATCGAGGGAAGTTGGGTAAAGTCATTTATAGCAAGAAGAAGGGAGTTTCCTGAAATCAGGGATATCATGATCTTGCAGTTAACAGCATATATAAGTTATAGTGACACGTTATACCTGATGTTTGAAGGAGATGACAAACTTTATTCTTTAGAATTAAGGCTCAGGCTTTCGTTCTGAAAAAATGTAAGCTAATGCTGGGAGTGCTGGTGTTTGTTTTTTGTTTTGAGTCACCCAGCAGTGCTCAGGGTTCACTCCTGGCTCTGCAGTCAGAAACCACTCCTGATGGGTCTTGGGGGACCATATGAGATGCTGGGAATAGAACCTGGGTTGGCCACATGCAAAGCAAGCACCCTACTGGCTGAGCTATGGCACAAGCCCTAATACTGAGCGTTGATTAGCTACTTCCTAACCACCACCCTCACCTCTCATAAGTTCCAGCTTATACCATCTAGAAAGGTTAGTCTCAATAGAGGAAAACGCATTTTTAAATCAATATAGGCAGTAACAAAGCATTTATCTTGACAGCATATTGTAATTACTGGCTGAATAAGAGAAAGCTCTTTTTTATTTTGACTTTTGGGCCACGACTAGGGCTGGAGTGATAGCACAGCGGTAGGGCGTTTGCCTTGCGTGCAGCCAGCCCAGCCGAGCCGGGTTCGATTCCTCTGCCCCTCTCGGAGAGCCTGGCAAGCTACTGAGAGTATTCAATATGCCAAACACAGTAACAAGAAGCCTCACAATGGAGACGTTACTGGGCCCGCTCGAGCAAATTAATGAACAATGGGAGGACAGTGTTTGTTTGTTTGGGCCACGACCAAAAGTTGGGGGTTCCTGCCAGCTTAGCGCTCAGCAGGATATTTCCCTGGTGCTGGGAGGAGGCTCAGGTTTAGTGTGAAATTGAACCTGGGCCTCCTGAATGCCAGGTTTGAATTCAACCTCATTTGAACTGTCTGCCTTGAAAATCCTTATTTAAAAACATGTTTTTTGTTTGTTTGTAGATGCTCAGGGCTTACTCCTGGCCCTGCACTCAGGCGGTGCTTGGAGGAACATATGTGATACCAGTGATTGAACTTAGTTCAGTTGCATTCAAGGCAAGCACCTACCCGCTATACTATCAATTCAGCCCAAGTCGTGTTTTTATTTATTTTTGTCTTTTGGACCACACCCATCAGTGCTCAGGTTACTCCTACTTGGCTCTGCGCTTAGGTATTATTCCTGGAGGTGCTCGGTGGCAGAGATCGAACCCAGGTGGGCCACGTGCAAGGTAAGCACCCTAGCCACTGCCCAAGTTCTGTCTCTTTAATAGGGTGAGGAATCCACCCCAGCCCTCCCACAGGCTCCTGACTACCTTACATTCGGCTACTTATTTTTTTCCTCAGAGTCAGCAACTGGGATGATGCAATCCAAGAGGTTAAAGTCAACAAAGAAGAATGATAGAACAACTCTGAGGGCAAGGCAAACTTCAACTTGCATGTTGTTAAACCTTTCTTGCAGTTTTCTTTTTTAAAAAAAATTTTATATTAAAAATTATTTTGTGTTTTTTATTTTTTTAATTTTCTATTTTAAAAAATAATGTAGGAGTACTGCTATTATTCAGCCATTAATTAAGCTCTTGCAGGTTTTCTTCTTCTTTTTTTTTTTTTTGCTTTTTGGATCACACTCAGCGATGCACAGGGGTTACTCCTGGCTCTGCACTCAAGAATTACTCCTGGTGGTGCTTAGGGGACCATATGGGATGCTGGGAATTGAACCCGGGTTGGCCGAGTGCAAGGCAAACGCCCGCTGTGTTATTGATTCAGTCCAACTCTTGCAGATTTTTAATCTGTAACTTGGACCAAGGGAAAGGACGGGACAGGGTGAAATTGGCAGTCTCTCCAATGTGCTTCCAGAGGAACGCTCTGATCTGGGGCCTGGCCCCCGTCCTCACCATTCTGGTTTACGGGCTTAGCCTGGGCTGGAGGCGCCTGCAGAAGCCCCCCTGGGGTCTTCATCTCTGTCCCACAGACCTGACTGGGAAGACAGCAGTGGTGACCGGGGCCAACAGTGGTGAGTCCTCCCCTCCCGTTGCTCCTTCACTGCCTAGTGTTTCCCCCGGGGAAGTGGACTTCCAGCGGCCCGCGTGCTGCTCGCCTTGTCCGCCCGCTGGCCCCTCACTGGCCCCAGATCCGCATGCCCCGTCCCCCCACAGGCATCGGTAAGGCCGTGGCCCAGGAGCTGGCCCTCCGTGGGGCCTGCGTGATCCTCGCCTGCCGGAACCCCGAGAGCGGACGACGGGCTCAGATGGAGATCCAAGCGGCCACCAAGGGGAAGGGGCGCCTCCTGCTTGGCGACGTGGATCTGAGCTCCATGGCCTCGGTCAGGAGCTTTGCCAGCTGGCTCCAGCGGGAGCACCCCGAGATACACCTGCTGGTGAACAACGCGGCCGTCTGTGGTAGGACTCGGCTCACCTGCCTGCAAACACGCTCCCGGCAGGGCTTCCCACCAGGCTGTCCTCAGACTTATCTTCCCGCAACGGACGCTGTCCTCCTGCTCCCACTCATTGGTCAACAGCGCCCGTGGTGCTGGAGATAGGACAGTGGGGAAAGCGATTCCTGCTTGTTGCCCGCCCCGGGTCCCTAAGCACCGCCTGGGGGCGCTCCTGGGCAGCACAGGGTGGGCCTCCCCACCGCAAAAGCACAAACACAGCTCCAAAAGCTCACCTGAAGTTAGAACCTCCAGCTTCATTGTCACCATTTTTGCACAAACATGCTATTGTGGCATTTCAAGGGAACCCTAGTATATCTCCTCCCCCGCCCCCCACAAACCTTGTCTCCCAGAGGAAAGTCCTTCCATCACTCCTACCTGCATTCTCATCTTCTCCCAGGATTACCCACGATTCTCACCCCAGAGGGTTTTGATGTCACCTTTGCCACAAATTATATTGGACCCTTTCTGCTCACGAATCTTCTCCAAGGTAAGGCTGGTAAGGCCCCCAAACATAAGCAAACAAAAAAAAACAAAGAGAGTTTAACTTGTTTTTTTTTTCTTCCTCAAGAATAGAGATACTTGGGGGTATGGTGCCGCCAGCAGGTCAATCTGGTACCTGTGAGGCGAGTGCATCAGCAGCCTGATGGCACCTTCAGACTTCCAGATACTCCCAAATTGCTGCTGTGCCTTTGGCCAGACCCCAAAAACTTGGGGCAAAATTTACCAAGAAAGTAAACAGCCAAAAGTTAGGTATGTGGGAGACACATCCACAAACCACCTCCAGCTCAGCTATATAATTGGAGGCATGGCCTCTCTGGTTCCTAATTGAACTGCTTAATGACCGTGATCCCAGAGACTCAGAAACAAATCTTGAAACCCAGCGGCTTTTGGCAGAAATGCGTCCGGTCCCTGTAGTAGGTTACCGGTGCTGGGCCAATCCAGGTGGGAATAGGTTTCATGCCTTGGGCTGTTCCTCCTGGTGGCTTGGTGGCCGCCATCCGTCTGAGGCAACTGGATAGTCACATTTGGGCCCGCAGTGACGAGACACATTGGGCCTCAGGGGTGGGGGTGGATCTGGTCCTGTCCTCCCTACCCCAAGGAGACCCCAAATCATCAACCACGAATGGCTCTCTGGCTTCCGATCAAGCTCCTTAATGACCATGATCCCAGAAACTCAGAAACAAATCTTGAAACCCAGTGGATTTTGGCAGAAATGTGTCTGGACCCCACAGTACGTTACTGTCGCCGGGCCACCCCATGGGGGAAAGGATGTTTGTTACTCCACCTGCTCCCCCTTGGCGGCTTGGTGGCTGTCATCCTCCAGAGGCCATTGGATAGTCAGGCTTTGGCCCACAGTGATGAAACTTTTTGGGCCTCATGGGATGGGGGGTGGAGCTGGTCCTGTCCTCCCTGTCCCAACGAGACCCCAAGTCATCGCCCACGAATGGCCTCTCTGGTTCCTGATCAAGCTGCTTAACGACCATGATCCCAGAGACTCAGAAACAAATCTCAAAACCCAGTGGATTTTGGCAGAAATGTGTCTGGACCCCACAGTACGTTACTGTCGCCGGGCCACCCCATGGGGGAAAGGATGTTTGTTACTCCACCTGCTCCCCCTTGGCGGCTTGGTGGCTGTCATCCTCCAGAGGCCATTGGATAGTCAGGCTTTGGCCCACAGTGATGAAACTTTTTGGGCCTCATGGGATGGGGGGTGGAGCTGGTCCTGTCCTCCCTGTCCCAACGAGACCCCAAGTCATCGCCCACGAATGGCCTCTCTGGTTCCTGATCAAGCTGCTTAACGACCATGATCCCAGAGACTCAGAAACAAATCTCAAAACCCAGTGGCTTTTGGCAGAAATGTGTCTGGATCCCGCAGTAGGTTACTGTCGCTGGGCCACCCCAGGGGGGAAAGGTTACTGTCCCTCCACCTGCTCCCCCTTGGTGTCTCAGTGGCCACGATCCTCCAGAGGCCATTGGACAGTCAGACTTGGGCCCGCAGTGATGAGACATTTTGGGCCTCACGGGATGGGGGTGGAGCCGGTTCTGTCCTCCCCACCCCAACGAGACCCCAAGTCATCGCCCATGAACGGCTTTTTTGGCTCCTGATCAAACTGCTTAATGCCCACGATCCCAGAGACTCAGGAGTAAATCTCAGGACCCAGAAGGTTTTGGCAGAAATCCTTTCAGATTTAAGTTTGTATTGCTTGTTATGAATAATCCACTAAACATGATCCAAAAAAATTTCTTTAGAGGAAAGTGTGTGAAGATTGTTGTATTACACCCTGGAACTGCTAAGACTTTGTCTTGGTACACCAATGGCATGAGATGTCATGGCCTCATGACCCAGGAATTCTAAAATTTTAAATATGATTATACAGCTGAGGTTAATTTTTTTTTAACTGGATGGTGACTTTGAGGTCCGGAGGCATCTCTGCTACATGTTGCTCTCTCTCTCTCTCTCTCTCTCTCTCTCTCTCTCTCTCTCTCTCTCTTGTATTTCATTGATTTTATTTTTTTATTATTATTTTTTAAAATTTTTATTAGTGAAACACCATGGGGTACAGTTGTAGACTTACACATTTTTGTGCTTGGGTTTCAGTTATACAATGGTGGCTCTCTTGTTGTTCTCTTTCGAGAGATTTACTTCTCAGTCTCTGGATTGATCACTTGATCACTTGACTTCCCGTTAATCGTTGATTTGCTCGAGCGGGCACCAGTAACGTCTCCATTTGTCCCTGTCGCGTGCTAGTGTAGCCCAATGGCATCTGTTCACTCTAGGAACACGAAGAGCCTCAAACCGATCGTTCATGATCTTGATGAAGAAGTCTGACCATCTGGTAGGTGGGCGGCCATGTGGTCTTTTGACATCCCGTGGAATCCAGTCGGTAACGGCTCTAGTCCAGCGGTCATCTCTAAATCTCATTACGTGACCAGCCCATCTGATTTTTGACACCTTGGCAAACGAGACAGCGTCCCTGATTCTTGATTTTCGGCGGAGGTCGAAACTTCGGATTCTTTCTCTCATTTGAGTGAATCGTGATATTCCAAGCATAGCTCTTTCAATTCCTCTTTGGGAGACCATAATAGCGTTCTCATCCTGTTTGCATAGGGCCCAGGTCTCTGAGGCGTATGTTAATGCAGGAGGAACAGTGGAATCAAAGAGATGTGCCCGGAGCCAGAGGTTCTTCGTCCTCTTAGCTATTTCTTCGACGCTCTTGAAGGTGTTCCAAGCCGCTCTCTTCCTCCTGTGCAATTCAAGTGCCAGGTCATTCGTCATGTTGACTTCTCGACCTAGGTACACATAACTGTTGCATTCAGAGATGGTCATTCCATTGAGAGCGAATGGGGCATCAGGAACGAGGCTGTTTCTCATAAACATTGTCTTCGTAAGATTCAGCTGTAGTCTGACCTTTCCACACTCATGGTAGAAGTAGGCCAGCATTTGTGCCGCTTTGCTGATGTTTGGTCTTATTAGAACGATGTCATCAGCAAAGCGGAGGTGGTGTGGTTGCCGACCATCTATCTTCACTCCAATTCCTTCCCATTCCAGTCGTCGCATGATGTTCTTGAGGGGGTACTGAAGATTTTTGGTGAAATGGTATCACCCTGGCGAACCCCTCTCTTGACATCAACAATCACTTCCTTGTAGAATGGTGAGATCCTGGTAGTGAATCCGTAATACAGCTCACGGAGGATCCTGATGTATTGAGTTTGAATGCCCTGTTTGGCTAGGGCTTCAATGACCGCTTCCGTCTCAACAGAATCAAAGGCCTTCTTTAAATCAATGAACGTTAGACAGAGTGGCATCTTGAACTCCCGAGAAATCTCAATGAGCTTGGTTATCCAGTCTCTGGATTATGGTCATTAATTCGCCTAGATGGCGCCAGAGGCAGTTTGCGGGCGTGAAGCCAACCTACTGGAAGCACAGGGAGATGGATGGTGGGTGATTGCCCCTTCCCGAATCTGAGCCTGTAGATTTCGGTCACAAGTTACACACACCTGGGTTTTTCAGCAGATTCACTCATGGATGAGACTCGACTGAGCCTCTTGTCCTTTTCTTTCTGACTGGCTTCACTCACCATGATATCCTCTAGTTCCATCCATGTCATGGCAAATGGCTTGATTTTGTCCTTTCTCAGAGCTGCAGAGTATCCTATTGTGCATATAAACCACAACTCCATAACTATAGTTCATTCACAATTTCTTGATTCCAACTTCATTCATTGGTAGTCAGAGGTGGGGGAGTCGAAAGAAGGGGTATGGGGGTCCTTTGGGGAGGAATTATGAACACGGGAAACTATCATTAAGAATATTGTAAACCATAGGGGCTGGAGCAATAGCACAGCGGGTAGGGTGTTTGCCTGGCATGCGGCCAACCTGGGTTCAATTCCCAGCATCCCATATGGTCCCCTGAGCACTGCTAGGGGTGATTTCTGAGTGCAGAGCCAGGAGTAACCTCTGTGCATCGCTGGGTGTGACCCAAAAAGCAAAAAAAAAAAAAAAGAATATTGTAAACCATAGAACCTCAATCAAGAAAAAAAAATTAGGATCTGGAGAGATAGTACAGGGGGTAAGACACTTGCATGGCAATCAACTGACCTGGGTTCAATCCTTGGCACCCCATATGCTCCCTTAACACTGCTATGAGTACTTCCTGAGTGCAGAGCCAGGAGTAACCCCTGAGTATCGCTGGGTGTGGCCAAACAAACAAACTAACCCACAAACAAATAAAGCACACACACCAAATTTAAAACAACCAAAACAAACCAACACCAAGGTCCCCTGGTGCCTGGGCCAGGGGCTACTGCGTGTCCTCTGAGAGGGCTGACTGGGAAGGGGCCTGGGGTCACCACAGGCTGTGACTTGAAGGCATTGTCCTCTTCCGCAGGGCTTTTGCAGCAGGCAGGCACAGCACGAGTGGTTAACCTGTCTTCCTTTATGCATGTGCACGGCTACATTGATGAGGACCACATGATGGGCACCGGAAGGCCTTTGGGCTTCAACCAGAACTACTATTCCACCAAACTGATGCTCATCTTGTTCACCCGGGAGCTTGCCCAGCGGCTTCAAGGGACCGGTAGGTGCCCCCAATGCTCCAACCCCTCTAGCCATAAAATCCTTGGCACCCTCCATCCTCCTAAGTCAGCAACTGGTCATCTAAGCCCCCCAACTCTTTCTCAGTTCCATCTTGAGACCATTATTTCACACATATCACTCTTTTAGTAGTTTTAAATCTAATTTAATTAGTTTTAGGTTTTTGTGTCATATCTGGCGCTGCTCAGGGCTTACTCCTGGCTCTGCATTCAGAGATCACTCCCTGTGAGGTAAGGTAGAGGGGAGCATATGAGGTCTTGGGAACTGAACTCGGGTTGGCTGCATGCAAGGCAAGGGCTCTACCCACTGTATTATCTCTTCAGCCCAGTCTTTTATTTTTAATTGGATTTACTATTTCATGTGTGTATCTGTGTGGTTTTGGGCCACACCCAGCAGTGCTCAGGGGTTACTCCCACCTCTGTGCTCAGGGGACTCTTTGCTGCTGAGAAACTCGGCAGGGTCTCCAGCATGCAAGTCCTGCATCTAGCCCTCTGAGCCATTTGCCCTCTCAACTCTCAGCCCTCTGAACTATGTCTTCAGCCCTCTCCCAGGATTTTGTTTGTTTTTGCTTTTTTTTGGCTTTTTGGGTCACACCCAGCAATGCTCAGGAATGACTTCTGGAAGAGCTCAGGGGACCATAAGGGATGCCAGGGATCGAACCCAGGTTGACTGCGTGCAAGGCAAATGCCCTCTCCACTGTGCTTATCACTTCGGCCCCAGTATTTTGTTTTTTATGTTTTAATTTTCTTAAATTTATTTTAAAACAATGTAGACAAAAGCCACAACTTGATACAAGTCAAGGATTGAAATTGATAGATAACAAAGCTCCAGTATTAAAATCGATAGATATTTAAAAAATTAATTTTTTTAAATGTGAAAATTGTTATATCTGATCATGGGATTGTTATGTCCTTGTCTAAGATTTTATTAAGCTGCTTGTTGGTAGTTGAGCCTCCTGTATTATTATTTTTGTTTGTTGAGTTGAGTTGGTGTCTATGTTACTTTCCCATCTAATTTGTGTGATTCTACTGCAATTTCACTATTGAGGAATTAGGTGATGGCCTGGCCACGAGGCAGCACCAATGAGTTGACGAGGCATTGGCTGTGGGAGGTGGGCATTGCCGGGGCTTCCAGAAGTACAGGGGTGGAGGGGAGGCTGCCCAGACTCTGAGAATACCCCAGAGTTCTCAGCCAGGGCACCATTCCCCGTGTTTGTAGTAGTAGTAGCGTCTATCACGTTCCTCTTTTTTTTTTTTTTTCTATTTTTGCTTTTTGGGTCACATCTGGTGATGCTCAGAGGTTACTCCTGGCTCTACACTCAGGAATTACTTCTGGCGGTGCTTGGGGGACCATATGGGATGCTGGGGATCGAACCCGGGTCGGCCGCATGCAAAGCAAACGCTATACTATCGCTCTGGCCCCCACATTCCTCTCACCATCCAGACAACACTTTAAAACAACTTTAAAAAAAGTATTAAAATGTTTCATTTACAAAAGAATTATGATTCTCTACTACAACTCTCACCTTACCAACAATCTCAGTAGAATTTAGAATAAAATAATATCGAAAGAAACAATATACATGTGATGAAGCACAATAAAGTCTTCACTTTTATCATTTTCTCATGTAGAAGATTTTGATGTATTTTTTTAAAAATAATTTATTTATTTATTGAATCACTGTGGGAAAAGTTACAAAGCTTTCAGGTTTAGGTCTCGGTCATGCAAATATCAAACACATTTCCCTTTACCAATACTTATTTTTCACCATGAAGAACCCCAATAACCACCCCCCCAATGCCTGTGAGGCAGATGAATTCTAGTTCACACTCAATCTACTTTGACTAGATTCATTGTTTCGATAAAAGATGCACCATTATTATTTGATGTATTTTTGAAACATTGGCAGTTTTTCCCCTCAGAGAGCCCGGCAAGCTACCGAGAATATCCCCCCACCCCCCCAGGCCCCCCTCCCCCCCGCACAGAAGAGCTTGGCAAGCTATCTGTGACGTATTCGATATGCCCAAAACAGTAGCAATAATGGGCCTCATTCCCCTGACCCTGAAAGAGCCCCCAGTGTGGCAGTGTTGGGAAGACCGAGTAAGGAAAGGCTGCTGAAACCTCAGGCTCTTTGTGTTCCTGGAGCGAGCAGACACCACTGGGCTACACTAGCATGCAACAGGGATGAATGGAGATGTTACCGGTGCCCGCTCGAGCAAATCGATGAACAACGGGATGGCAGTGGCAGTGATTTGAAATGTTAAAATATTTCCCCCCATAAACCTGTGTCTTAGTGTAGCTGACACTCTCAAATCTTCTGTTTCTTGTTACTGACGCAGAGGCCATAGTCCCTGTCCCTTAAGGAGCAGTTGCTGTTCCCCAGGCACCGCCTCCGACCCTCCGCTCACCTGGTCAGATCCCCACGCTCCCCTCTCTGTCCTCTGCACAGGTGTGACTGTGAACTCGGTGGATCCGGGTGTGGTCTACACGGGAATCATGAAGACTTTCCCCTGGTATTACCGCGTTGGCTTCTGGCTTTTAAGCTTCTTCTTGAAGGTGGGTAGGGGAGATGCTGACTCGGCTGCTTCTCTGTGTCCCCTGCCTGGGGTGACTTCTACCCACCTTGGCTGCAGCCACTCCCACCCGCCCCCCTCCCTGCACCCCCCCCCCCCCCCAAACACTGATGTCTCTACAGGATATCAAACAATCAGCAGTCCCCGTCCTCTACCTGTGCTTAGCAAAGGAACTGGATGGCATTTCTGGAAGATACTTCAGCAATTCTTGCGTGATTACTCTTCCCTCTGAAATTGCTCTGGACCGCCAGGTGGGTCAAAGACTCTGGCAGAGCACAGCCCGACTCACCAACCTGGACCAGACGGATTGACCTCTGGTGGCTGCTGTCTGCCCTCGCCCCCCCTCCCTGCATGCCTCCTTGGACGGATGACCTCGTCTGGCTGAAGGGCTCTTTTCCCTCTTCCTTCTGCTCAGTAGCATGAAAGCGCAGAGAAGCCAGAACCTGGGCTATACTCTTCAGTGGAAGTAGAAATTAGAATCTCTTAGAAGCTCAAAGTGGCGGGCGGTGGGGAGGGGAGTCAAACTCTTTCAGGCAGGCTGAAAGGAGGGTTTCAAGGACGGTGACCAGCAAAAGGGCAACACTCACACCCGAGCCTCTTGGTAGCTGGACTTGGACTTCTTGACATTGGAGGTCATACCACACAGTGCCTTCTGGATGAAAGCCTCTGCCAGCTTCTGCTAAGACATCACCCCAGCTGGGACAGTGCAGATAATCCATCCTTCTGTCCTTGCTGGAAGGACATGAATCCCTCACATGTGCACCATGTTCTTTGCCCCAAGCCACATCCCTGGTTCCTATTCTAGCTTTCTGTCAACCTCTTGCTCCTGGGTGATGAGCCAAGAAATAAGACGAGCAAAATTCTGAGTGTGAACTCTTTTCTTTCTTGTCTGAGCTCTTTTTTTTTCTTTTATTGAATCACCGTGAGATATTTATTTATATTTTATTTAAACAAGCTTTCATGTTTGAGTTACACTCACACAATGATCAAACACCCATCCCTCCACCAGTGCACGCTCCCCACCACCAATATCCCCAGTATACCCCCACTTTCCCACCCCCCCCCCCGCCTGCATGGCGGACAATACTCTCTCTCTCTCTACTTTTGGGCATTATGGCTTGCAATACAGATACTGAGAGGTTATTATGCTTGCTCCTTTCTCTACTTTCAGCACACATATCCCATCCCGACCAATTCCTCTAAGCATCATTTTCTTAGTGATCCCTTCTCTATTTCCAGCTGCCTTCCCCACCCCACCCCCACCCCACCGCTCATGAGGCAGGCTTCCAGCTATGGAACAATCTTCCTGGCCCTTGTATCTATTGTCCTTGGGTGTCAGTCTCATGTTATGCTACTTTATACTCCACAAATGAGTGCAGTCCTTCTATGTCTGTTCCTCTCTTTATGACTCATTTAACTTAGCATGATACTCTCCATATCTATCTACTTATAAACTTTACTTATAAACAAATTTCATAAATTCACCTCTCCTAACAGCTGCATAGTATTCCATTGTGCAGATGTACCAACTTTTTTTTTTTTTTAACCAATCGTCTGTTCTTGGGCACTTGGGTTGTTTCCAGGTTTTGGCTATTGTGAGCAGTGCTGCAATGAACATATAGGGGCAGAGGTCATTTCTACTGTGCTTTTTTTGCATCCTCAGATTATATTCCTAGAAGTGGTATTGCGGCATCATATGGAAGCTCAATTTCTAGTTTCTGAAGGACTGACCATATTGTTTTCCATAAAGGCTGGACCAGTCAGCATTCCCACCAACAGTGAAAGAGCATCCCTTTTACTCTGGGCTCTTTGTTTAGGTACATAACGTTTGTCATCAGGCTGGAGAGATAGTACAATGGTTAAGGCACTTGTCTTGTATGAGGCTGATCCCTGTTCAAACCCTCTGTACCACGGAAAGTCTCCTGAGCACTACCAGGGATCACTCCTGAGCAGAGAGCCAGGAATAAATAGCCCTTGAATACTACCGGGGATGACCCAAAATTCAAAAAGAAAAAAAATTAGGTAGGGCTCAAATCACACACACACACACACACACACATACACTTCATATGTATATATATATTTTTGCTTTTTGAGTCACACCCAGTGATGTTGGGCTGGAGTGATAGCACAGAGGGTAGGGCGTTTGCCTTGCACGCAGCCAACATGGCCGACCCGAGTTCGATTCCTCCACCCCTCTCGGAGAGCCCGGCAAGCTACCGAGAGTATCTCGCCCGCACGGCAGAGCCTGGTAAGTTCCCCGTGACGTATTCGATATGCCAGACACAGTAACAACAAAGTCTCCAATGGAGACGTTACTGGGCCCGCTCGAGCAAATCGATCAACAATGGAGGACCGTGACCGTGACCATGACCGGTGATGTTTATGTGTTACTCCTGGCTCTGCACTCAGGAATCGCTCCTGGCGGTGCTTGGGAAACTGTATGGGATGCTGGAGATTGAACCCGGTCGCATGCAAGGCAAACACCCTACCCTCAGTACTATCATACCAGTTCCACATCTCATATTTTATTAACACCTATTTGACTGAACTGATTTATTTGTTACTGAGTTTTCCTAACCACGAAATCATGTCACCACAAACCTACTTCATTTTTTAAAACATGTTCACAACATTTTGAGTAATTTTATTCATAAAAAACTTTCACAAGTTTTACTATACTTCATTCCAGGTATCTGATCTTTAATGCTGTTGGAAATGTTATTTAAAAATTTGTGGACAGGAGGCATGGCACTTGCTTTGGATGTGGCCAACGTGGGTTTGATCCCCATCTAGGTCCTCAGCACTGCCAGGAGTAATTTCTGAACGCAGAGCTAGGAGTAACCACTGAGTACTGCCAGGCATGGCTCTAAACCGTAACTAACTAAATAAAAACAGCCTCTAGCCCTGAGCTTTGTTTGAAGTTTCAGGTGTGTTTTCTAGCCTAGACCCACAGTCTGACCCACTGGTATGAATGAAAACCACCTTGTTCTCTCACCAGCACTTTGTGTCGGTCTGCTTGATTAAGTGAACTCCTGTTATAATGTTGAAGGCCAAAGTATCAGTAAGGATAGCAGTTTACAACTATCCTTTCCTTCTTTTCAACTATCACAGCTTCTTTTTCATTTTTTTTTATTTTACAAACTGGTTCACAATATTTGATTACACGTAATATTTAAACACCAATCCCATCACCATTATGCCTTCCCACCACCATATTTTGGGTGTTTCCATCCCAATCCTCAATCCCTGCCCAAAGCAGAACCAAAATAATATATAATATATCCCTCAAAGGTTGGTTGCCTCCTACTTCGAATCCCATCAAACGTGGTGTGGTACTCTTGGAGTATGAGTAGTGTGAAGTATGAATTGTTCAGGAAAAGGTTCACTCATGGGTAAGGCTTGGCTCGAGCATGTGGGCAGTGGCCATGAGCCTGGCAGCGGTTGGGTTCTGGAGGTTTTCGGCTGCTGGGGAGGGGTCTCACCTGCCCCCCCCCCCTCTGGGGTACCCCAAGTGAAACAACCTGGCACGGGTCACAGCTTCTTTTTTATTTTATTTTATTTTTTTATTTATTTTGCTTTTTGGGTCCACCTGGCGATTCACAGGGGTTACTCCTGGCTCTGCACTCAGGAATTACCCCTGGCGGTGCTCAGGGGACCATATGGGATGTTGGGAATCGAAACCGGGTTGTCAGTGTGCAAGGCAAACGCCCTACCCGCTGTGCTATTGCTCCAGCCCCTCACAGCTTCTTTTTAAAACTTATTTGAAAACTTTATGTTCATCAGGAATTTAATGTATTCACTGGGACTATTAATATTAATATTTTCAGTCACCAGGAATTACAAAGCTATTCATGATTGGGTTTCAGGTGTACAATGTTCTTTACAATGTACACACCAATCCCTTTATCTGTGTCCACTTCCGTCCACCAATGTCCCATCTTCTCTCCCGCCCACCAGCCTGCCTCTCTGACAAGCCCTTAAAATAAAGCTTGGCACTGTGGTTTCCAGTGCCTGGTTGTTACTGACAGCATTTCATGCATCGCATTTACCACCTCTCACGACCCCCTTCTCCTCCCCACTGACCACTCCCTCCACCATTGTGCAGTGTTCCCTTCCCTACCCCATTCCTCCTCCCCATAACACCCCCATCCCACCTCAGTGGAAAGCTTCCTACTGAAGTTATCAACTATCAAAACTTCTATTTTCTAGAAAACCATCGGTTTTTTAATATTAAACAAATACTAATCAAGTCAATGCAAGAATTTGCATTTCTAGAATAAACCCATCTGGGCCCTAGGTGACTCTTGGGCACATTGTACTATTTCTTCCACTCTTCTTTCTGTTGTTCTTTCACCATGGCCAAGGGCGGCGTGCTTGGCCATTTGATTGCAGTGCTCTTTGGGCTTCTGACTTCAGCTCCAGTGCTCACTTACCCTTGGCACGCTGTCGTGGTATTGGCACATGGGCAGTGCCAGTGGGTTTAGATTGGGCAGGAGCACAGTTTTTGGGCCCTTGGATTGAAGTCAAGAAATAGAATTTGGGGGCCTGGAGCAATAGCACAGCGGGTAGGGTGTTTGTCTTGCGTGCGGCCGACCCAGATTCGATTCCCAGCATCTCATATGGTCCCCTGAGCACTGCCAAGGATAATTCCTGAGTGCAGAGACAGGAGGAACCCCTGTGCATCGCCAGCTGTGACCCAAAAAGAAAAAAAAAGAAGTGAAATTTGGGGATCCAGTGGAAACTCAAGTTTTAGTTTTTTGAGAAGTGTCTATGTTGTCTTCCAGAAAGGCTGAACCAGTTAACATTCCTACTAGTAGTGACTGAGGGTTCCTTCCTCAGCCTCCTTCATTTCAGCCTATACTCGCTTTTTTTTTTTTTGATTAATTTTGTTTGTTTTGGGGCCACACTTGGCAATGCTCAAGTCTTGCTCCTGACTCTGCACTCAGGAATTACACCTGGCAGTGCTTGGGGGACCTTATGGGATGCCGAGAATCCAACTTGAGTCTGTCGCGTGCAAAGTGAACACTTTACCTCTGGCCCCACACAGGCTGTTCTATTTTTTTTTCTTTTTAGCTGTGGAGCCCCACCCAGCAGTTCTCAGGGCTTTCTCCTTACTCTGAGCTAAGGAATCACTCCTGGTGGGCTTGAGGGACCATATGTAGTACCAGGGATCAAACCCGGGTCAGCCATATGCAAGGCAAGGCCCTACCCACTGTACTATTGTTCTGGCCCCTATTTTGTTATTGAACTGTGCTGGTCTTACTGTAATATATCACATTTGTGCACGTGTTTGTGTGTTGTTTTTGGTCCAGACTCTTTTCTGTTTTGTTTTTGTGCCACACCCGTAGGTGCTCAGGGCTTGCTCCAGGCTCAGGCCTCGCTCCAGAAATAGCTTTGGGATCCACAGGGGGTATTGGAGATTGGCCCATGGTTAGCTGTGCACAAAACAAGCCCCTTGATCACTGTGAAGAAAAGCATGTGTCAGGAGGTCTTGGTACAACGTGTTCGGTGGCTGAGAGCCGTCTCTCAGGTGGAGAAAAATGAAGAGACAGGGACCACAATTGGCAGTGGACATTTAATTCAGAACTGAATAGCATTCTTATATAATGTCTGAGGAGGGTTGAGGTATAAGTCTGCACATAGGTGTGATTGATCATTTATAGAGATAAAGTATTTGACACAGGCAATTCTTTTTCTTTTTTTTGTAGGAGTACTGCTATTTATTCAGCTACTGATTAGCTGATTGAATTGTGCATGAACTCCACCTTACTTTTTTTCCATTTTTTATAATTTTATTTATTGAATCACCGTGAGAGCAGTTACAAAGCTTTTGGGTCTAAGTCTCGGTCATACAAT